CACACACACACACACACACACACACACACACACACACACACACACACCTTCTCATAACACATACAATAAAAACACACACGCTCCATTTTATATTGCTTTTAATTTACTATTATTTAACTCACAGTGTTCATCTTTTTATTATTACTAAGTCCAGCTGTGGAAGCGAGGGCCGAGGGTGGTAGTGAGTCGTCATACTGGGAATCCTAGTACGAATTCCAGACTCTCACAAAGTTTCCCAAATGTTTTTTGTTTTTTTTTTACTAATAATGTATGATTTACCATTGCCTTTGTGTGAGTGAATAAAGTTATTATTATTATACAAAAAAATAACTTTTTTATTATTTTAATATATACATATTTATTTTCTTACCTCCCGCAACACTGATTTGATTGCCAAAGTCCTCCGCGTACGAATTAAGTTTAATCTCTGAAAACAAAATTCAACATTTGATATACAACTTTAATATACATAAATTATTACTAGTGGCCACCTTAATTGCCGAATATTTAAATTAGCCGAACCCGAAGGAATAGAGTCTTTTATATATTTACAGCAAAAAAATTTGGAAATGGTACATTGGTACAGAAAGTGCATAGCGGCATAGCGACTGGCACGGTTTGCTAGAAGACGTCGGTTAGAATCCGGCCGGATCTATGGAATTTTTTCTAAGTTTTCGATCTTTGTATTAATAATTCGCACTGTTAACAGAGTAGTGTTTTAAGTAATTAATAGATTCAGGCGTTACTTTGCGGAAGTCCTGTAAATAAAAATTGAAGTAAATTAATTTCTTACTCCGCGAACCCAGTGAAGGTTAAATCGTGCAAAATAGCTGCGCTTGTGTTGAATATTTTTTCATGCAGTTAATTATCCCACTCTCCCATCACATACAATTAATAAAATAAATAACCCAAGCGCAACTAAAGTCACAAACCACCACCAAAAATATACCCGACACGTGTTTCGCCTCTCCACGAGGCATCCTCAGGGGCTGTTGACTGCTCGATCCTAGGCCGAGCCTTAACCTTCACAGGGTTTGCGGAAGAGCAAATTAATTTACTTTCATTTTTAGTAGTGCATTAGCTCAAAAAGTCGATTCTGAGAAAATACATTTCTCAGAATCGATGAAAAACGAATTGCTCGCTTCCCGTGAAAGATCTGTGTAAATTTATGTATAGGTTATTTTCCACTTGCCAAATATACTTATTTAAAAATAAAAGAGAAAAAATAATTTTATAATTTTTAATAAGAACTATTTTGGCCAGAACTAGCTGACATAAAGCGTGTCTCATTTAAGTTAAGTAGTTAAGTATATATCTTTCAGTTGTTTTTTACAATACCCTAACGACGGTTTTATTGACGTGTAGAGAATAAAATTTTACGATTAACAAAGGTATAATCTTGAATTTCACATATTTTGCGTTGTAACACTATTGTAACAGCAGTGCGAATTATTGGTACAGAAAGTTAAGTACGTTAATTATTTATATAAATATATTTTTTCTTGTTCTTTCATTTACAATATGGTTGTTTAAAGCAATCTGGAAATTAGTTTAATCTAAAGTACAACTCCCAACTGTTCTCATTTTCGTGGAAATTTTTGTTTAACAAAACCTCTGTAGAATCTCACCATAAAGTCTAAGCGTGCCTTCACTCTTTCCCAGCGAATTCGTACTGACGCAGTTGTAGGTGCCGATGTCACCACGGGAGAACTGTTTGATGGTGAGCCACATTGACACTTTGTACGATGACTTTTCTTCCCGTATTGTGTATTTAGGCCTGCAGACAATAAAACAATAAGGTATTTCTCTAAATAACACTGAAATCATAATATAGTTTAAAGGTCTAAGTAATTAATTAAAAATAAACAAACTTCAGATGTCATTTGGTATCGATAGCCTAGCGTACACTTGAACTAACTATACTTTTGGAAATTTTACAGCAGAACAATTTGAACGTTTGACTTCGAATTCCAGAAACAACTTGCTACGTATGACTGATTTACAGCCATCGAATATATAACCAGAAATAGAGACGCAATAAGGACCATCCATCCCTGGCAACTCATCAAGCTAATGAGTCTCGTTTGCACTGAAATCACAAATAAAAAAGGAGAAATAGTACTGCGCCAACAACTGACCTGTGTGTACTTCTCCGTATATTCCAAAAATATTCTGTATTTATTGTAAGAAAGATAATATCTCTAACTAAGGGGGCTATTCGATTCGGTGGTGTGAGTTCCATAAAGCTGCACATCATAGTTATTTTTACCAAGTCTCAAAACACACGTAGCAACGCGGCTTCTATGTGCACGCCCACACCATGTACGGATGCACACATTCGCCTAATCTCGCTGTCACCACAAGAGTATAAAAATCCCAAAATTGTTTAGATTCAGACTGCAATACATCGAGTATATAACCAGAAATAGAGACGAAATAAGGGCCATGCGTTCCTGTTAACTCATCAGTGATACATCATTTATAAATATCAACTCTCGTTTGCACTGAAATATGCAAGCGAGAACAACTTACCTATATCTACGTCTCCGTATATTCCAAAAATATTGTGTATTTATTGTAATTAAGATAATATCTCTAACAATGGCGTGCTGTTTCATTTGGTGGTGTAGGAAAAGTAACAAAATATCTAATTACAAAACAAACGGAATCAAATTTCATCCATAATTAAGTATGTATTTTTCAATTTACGTCCATTATAGCAAAGCTCAAGTTAAACTGGTCGATTTGACGTGAAACAATTGATGACACCCGTCAATTGTTTTGAATTCAGGCTGGCCAATCGGAGCGCAGTTGTCACCGTAATTATTTGGCAGAATAGTTTTTAAACAAATTAAATGACATTTCGTCTCTATTTCTGGTTATATACTTGATAGTAATTTACTTTATTACTCTATAGCTCTTACACTAAGCTTGCAGAATTATCGGTCAATTAAAATGAATTCTCACGCACTTAGCACAATTTGAGTGGACATGTGTAGCGTTTTATACTTTAGGTAATTAAAAATTATCCAATAGTATGCAATTATTACGTTTGTGGTCGTAACACTTCAAGTACTAAAATCACTTAACATGATTGTACACAAATTTTGACCAATATTCTCAGCATAATGTGAATTTAGTATCTCAGTGTTCTAGCAACTACGTGATTGTTTCTGGAAATAGAATCAGTTAATTTAAAAACTTAGGTCATAAGTAATTCCCTAAAAAAATAAAGAACACTTTGAAAGGGTTGTAACCCTAACAACCGTGATCAGGATCACGGCAGTAAAACAGGAAACTTCCGGTCCACAAATATATTTAACGTGAAGTAAAGTAAAACGAAAGGCTGTAACAATAAAAAGGTAAATTTAAAAAAACAGACACAACAGTATAAAACACTTCCTACAGTTTGATGGATATTAAGGCACTTACCCCTCAATGGGCGGAGTAACTGAATTACAGATACGTAATCTTAGAGACATGAAGGCTGTAGACTGTTATAGATTATTATACATGATTTATCTTATTTAATGACGATTATAAACGTAGTAAAGGACCAAAATTAGTGATTATACGCGATGGAATTTGAAACAGCTCCAACCGTTGTGGCGGTCGAGCAGGGAGTGACCGTGGTACGAAACAGAATGAGAAAGCGAAAGAAGATGGAACATTCCTTATTTAAAATTGAAATACAAGTAAAAGAAAAAAATGATAGGATACAAGTGGATAGAGGCGATACAAAAAGGTGAGATGACGGTGTAAGGAGGTCACACCGTCACAACTTCAATTATTGGAGCCCTGTTTTGAGCTCTGTTTATTTATTTGGCGTGACGTTTTTACAAGAAGTAAGAAGAGTTTTACAAAGAGACACCATATTGGAGTTCTGATGAATGGGAACGATGCGACGTTTAACGATACAGGGTGACTAATTAAGTGTGGTTAATTAACATTGTGTGTTATTTAACATCTTTATTTAAATATTATATTTATATATTTAGTACTGTTTTAAATAGTTTAAAATGTTGTCTATTACCTTAAAATATTATGATACATTTTAGAATCATTTTCAAAACCTTAATTATAATTTTACAATAAGTACAAATACAAAATATGAAATGATTTATTTATCTCAGAAAGGTCTATAAGTAGTTACATTCCATGTATAATAACAAGTTCCATAATGAGAACTGGAGTCTGTACTAGGTTGCGGACCTGAGGACCTCACCAGGCTCACTCTTCTCTAGGTGTATTAAGAACGTAACATCATTTAAAAAAAAATACGATCATATTATAAAATAAATAATGGACCAGGCATTGCCTTATAAAATACTTCATTGCGGTTTATTTACATTTACTTAATGACCTAAACTTTGTAGTATAGTGTCAAATAAAACTAGATAATGTCGACCAAAATTTGATGATTCAGCAATGCTGATTATGAGTCTTCACGTATTGCAGGTAAACGCAGGTGGCTATTCGCTGGCCGCACCAGGTTGGTGAGCTACGATTATACCAACTATACCTACATTTTGTTTATTTCTGTTCTGTGATACCAAATGGCGGGATAAACAAATCCAAGTCCAATAATGTTTATTTCACAGGTAAGCAAATTACACTTGATTAAACTCTACTGCTCATTCGTATGGCAGATACCCCTGAGAAGAATGAGCTAGAAACTCTAGGGGTTGATCTTTGTAAATATACATTTGAATACATTTATCATTACAATATTTAATTTAAACATCTTAGATCGAGAATACCTGAAAGAGCCAAACGGGTCACTATCACGGATTTTTCTCATCCAAGTACGCAGAAGCTGTATAATAACCTTTAGTATAAAGTTTTTGTTTCACTTTATTTTTTAACCTTGTAAATGGCAAATTTCGAATACCAATCGGAATATTATTACGAAAGCGTATACCCTGTCCCTTAAATGAATTTGAGACTTTATGCAGACGAATGTTAAGTACAGCTAGTTTATTTTTATTCCTCGTATTAATGTTATGTCGGTCACTAGTTTTCATAAAAAGATTAATATATTTCTTACCATAAATAACATTTTCATAAATATACTGTGACATTAGTGTAGGAATGTTAATCTCTGTAAACTTATGTCACAAGGATAATCCAGATTGTAAATTGCCCTAACCACACCTTTCTGAAGGACAAAGATTCAAAGTAAAATACCATATGACATTAAACTGTGAAAGTAGCTGAAGTAAACTAATCTAGCTGTTCGACATCTAAAAATTTTCTTTCTTTTTATCGCGTACACTGCAGAACTGAGCCGTTTTGATAAATTATTTATATGTGGACTCCATTGCAATTCAGCATCTAAAATTTTACCTAGAATTACAACTGTATCGACAAGGTTCAATTTTTCGTTTCTAATTATAATGTCTGTGTCCGTCTAGCAAGTCGTGCCTGGTGGTAAGCGACACGTCTGTCCATTACAGTTTCAGTGCCACTAAGAGTTTAAATCGCAAAGATCTGACGAGCACTTCCACTGCGCCCTGAGACATAAATTGACAAGTCCCTTATGCCTGTCAATTCACCAGCACCTTTACCGTTCCAAACCGGAACGCAGTAGTCATGCTCACGTTACCACTTGGTGGCAAAAATATGTATGTAAGGTGGCAATATTTCCTACCTACTTAGTCTACCTATAACTTCAAGGTACCTTTTTGCAACCTAATTCAATTATTAGTAGCGCTGTGATCCGGATAAAAAATCCTATCAATCACCATCATAAGGACTTCAGATTTAGAGGAACTTTCACTGAATAGTAGTAGTGATGCGTCTAAAGTTGAAAAATGATTGATTCAGATCTCTAATGTCTATAATCACTTTCAGTTGCGATTGCCATTCTCCATTTATTGAATGATTAACTATTTACTCATTCAATTACCATACATAATACCATGAACCAATAACTCAATAGGACTGCTTATCGCCATACTACAGATCGTAACTCTGGAAAAGGTCAAAGTTCCGTCTCATCTAGGTGGCGTTAATGGATAGCCTGAAAGTAGTTTACAGTATCTAATTGGTTAGTGGATATAAATTAATTCATCTTTAATATGAAATGGACGTAGTTGACAAAAAGGATCCAATCCACAAAATTACCAAAAAATGAGTTATATGTACCAAACGGGTCCTAAAGTTTAACCTCTTAGATCAGCTAAAAAATACAACATATAATAATAAATATCTTTGGAGTTACATGACATTATAAGTTTTGAAATAAAAAAAGAGTGGAAAACACTTTTCAACTTCAAACTTCCATATCTCGAAAGTGACTGAATAATAATAATAATAGTAATAACGCACACACTCGACATAGCCCCGCACTAGGGAAACCCTGTGTCGCAGGTGCCATGGACACACAAATAGACAATTACAAATTACACCCAAACTCACGAGACAAATAAATGTAGGCCATACAAATATTTCTCCCGGCCCGGGAATCGAACCTGGGACCTCTGCACGGCATGCATGACCTCTGCATGGTAACCGTTCGGCCACGGAGGCAGTGAATGTGCATTGGATGCTTTTCGTTTAACTACGTCCAAACGCAAGTTTTTGTCCTTATTTGGAGTTTGACAAATATGAGTGTCAATAGAGGGCATTATGTGTAACAAACCAATTGAGAAATTAATGCATAGTATGGATAGATGGTGCTAATTCTAAAGAAAATAAAAGAATAGCCGGCAGTATTTGGACAGGGAAGCGATAATCCTTATGTAGCTAATTTGAGACTGCGAAACAAATTGATTG